GATATACAAACCCTTCCTTGACTGCCGGTGGCAGCCAGGGAAGCGGATAGACATAAAAATAAGTTAAATATACAAAGAGTTTGGAAACAATTTAGTTTCAGTATGTAACTCCACCAACAAAAATGCAACCAGTGGCTCTCATAGAGAGGCAAATCTAGTGACTCAGTTATAATTCTTCCCTTTCCTTGAAATGGAAAAGAAATGCAAAAGAGGAGCAAAATGGTCAACATTTACTACTCACAAGAAGCGAGACTACATGAGCTTTCCTAAAGGCTATTTCAAAATTGGTTTTATCATAGCATTTTAAGAAGCATAAACTCATTTGAAGCAGAAAGAGAGCTCAAGTTTTGGCAACTAGAATGGGAGTCACCATTTCCCAAAATCTTGGAGACTACTGAATTTCTTGTAGGAAGGGACTTGGTGAGGTTATCTAGGAAGGGCCATTTCCTAGCTTCCAGCCCACACCAGCTATCACTGGATAGAGTGTACCACCTTGCAAAAATATGTTGACTTCTTAATTCTTGGTAGAAAGACTTCTTTGTCGAGGGAAAATAGTCCTTTCTGCTAAGAGGTGACTTTAAAACTTTATATACATGTATCCATATATACAAGGTAAGTAAACATGCATTACTCCTAGAGTTCCAGTTTATGCTTGTATGGGTTGATTCCAAATGAAGCGTGTTCAAACGTGTCTCTTCAATTAGTGGATGGCTGTAGACAAGTTTTCCAAGTTACACACTCGTAGTCATCTCATTAAGGTGTGTGTTAGTCTGGGTAGACCAGAGAAACAAATCCATGGACACACATATGTATATAAGGGAGAGGTTTATATACAAGAGGAACTGAGCATTGAGAAAACAACCCAACCTAGTCCAGTCCAAGGGTATAAGTCTTATGTTAGCCCATATGTCTAATACCAATCTATAAAGTCCTCTTCAGACTCACGAAACATATGCAATGAAGCCAAATGCAGGATGATCACAGGCCAGTGGGTAGAAAGTCTTTGGGTCCAGTGGTGGTGTAAGCATCTCAATGCTGGCAGCAGTCTCTCTGTGGGTTCTCTGGCTTCCGAGGTCTGGTTGCATCCATATGGCTTGTCTTCTGCAATGTCTCGCAGGGATTGGCAGAGAGAGAGAGAAAAGTGTCTTCTGCCTCCAAGGAGGAAGTACCAGATTTTCCAGAATTCTCAGGAGAAGGCCATGCTCACACAGAAGTCTCATTGGCTATCTCCAGATTGACAGCCTAGATTCCACCCCTACACTCTTAATCCTTACATTGACACCAGGTGACTACCACAAGGTGCCTTCAAGTAAAACATATATATATATTTTATGTGCCATGAATTTTAAACAGTTTTGAGGTTGGGGCTAATGTCAAATTTTTAACAAAATTCAAAATGGTCTTCCCAAATCACAAGTTTACAGGAATGCAGCCCCATTAAAAACAAAAAACAATTTTTACACGGTTCAAGATTTCGCAGTAATACCTTGGACTTTTCTGCATATGTATTTGTGTGTATACAATATATTGTATACTATAGATGGTATACATACACACATATGCATATTAACTATCTTAGGGAATTCTTCCTCAATTTTTACTACCTCCACTTCCTGGTCTAAAGTTTTGAGCTACCTACATTTATATTTTACTCCATTATTTGTTTAGAGTCATGCGAATTTTTCATTAACCTAAATTTTGATTCAATCTCTAAATAAATCATATTATCAGGACTTCTTTTGCCATGCCTTGACCATTTCTGGTTTTATGAAGCCAGGTATCATTTGAGATTTACTTCAATAATGTAATATGGTCTCTCAGATGTGTTGATTTCTTTCTGTTCACCTTTATGAGCACAAACTCTTCGTTTCAAGAGCACGATATGTGTTACATCTCTAAATTGTCCTGTTCTCTTAACTTTAATACTCTTGTGCCATGGTGTAAAAACCCATTTCTTACTCAACTGATTTCCAGCAGACCATGCCACTAGTGCCAAGAATTCCTATTCTTTCAAACATGACTGACTATTCGGGGTGTCAGTACTAGATACTTATTGTGTATTAGGAGGAGGCTTCTGGCCATAGAAGGTTACTTTATAGTTTCAAATTATAATAAATAAATAGAGAAGAGAAACAAAGACACCCACTTATATTTTCTGTGTTATCTTCATGGTAGAAAGATAAAGTAGCAAACAGTACAAACATGCCAGGAATTCAAAACAATAATTATAGAGTTCGTCCATTAGGTGTAACGGGGGGATAAAGAAATAGAAAAAAGTATAATAAAGTGATAGGATTAGGGAAATTAAAAATGACTTATTTAATGGAACAATCACTCTTCCAAGACCTAATGTTTCATTTGACATTCCAAAAATATCCAAGAACACAAATAAGATGTTCAGTATATATTTTCATGTAACTGTTTCTTAGTGCTTTATTTTCTCTGGCTTAATGACATTTTTCTGGCTGCCTACTGCTAGTGACTTCTCTATTTTCAATTATCCCTAAACATTACCATTTTCTTTATTCCTAGTTTGAGAATTTCTCACTAATAAGAAAGTCTCTTCCATATGGCCCTTACTCTAGTGGTACATACACAATTTGAACAGAATCTAGTAATTCTTGGACAAGCATGCTGTGAACCCAAGAGACTTGCCAGGAGTGAATGATATTATATACCTACTATTGGCTACAGATGGGGATGAGAAAATAGCACATATATTCATTAAAAGGACTCTGTAGATGTCTACTCCCCCTGCCCACCCCCAGCAACAAGAGTAACTTTAGACTCAGTATGTCTATGGTGGGATAAAAATGTTTTGCATTTCTAAGAAGATCTCAGGTGGTGCTAACACAGCTAATTCAAGGATGATAGTATGAGAATCACTGCCTTCTTCCAATGGTCTATGTCAAGCACTGAAGGAAAAGGAGCTACCACATGAAAGATCTCATCAATCTGTTCCAGTAAAGATCACAAGCTGGGTAAACATATGGGGCAGCTCTGCGCTATCCTGTTTGGTTGCTCTGAGTTGAAATCCACTTAACGGCACAGAAGAACAACAATCCGGTTTTGTATTGCTTTAGATGGTTTAGAATAGTGTGAAGAAAGCATAAACGGAAGTCGAAAGCATGTGTTTCAATGAGCAGAGAGCAACAGCGATGGAGACCGGCATGATAGGAGTTTGGGAGTTTTCCTTTTCACTCACAGGTGGAAGGAGGTATTTGTTTGTTTGCTTGTTTGTTTGTTTGTTTGTTTCAAAAGGTAGAGCAGCAGCTCTCAGTCTTCCTCGTGCTGCACAATTACCTGGAGCACCTCCCAGAGTCTGATTCAGTAAGTCCTGCAGAGTATCAAGGGATCTGAATGTTGACCCAGCCCTGTAGTTAATTTTGAAGCCGATTTTGAAAAGATTACACTTTAATTGGTAATGGTTTTAGAAAAATAAAATAGGAATCCAAGTAGAGACTTACTCCTACAAGGGACAGAAATCAAAGATGTTATTGGGTCTATGCTTTTTATAGTTGTGCATCGAGCAGTAGAGTCGGTTGGACGAATATTAGTTATCTTTTAGAGAAAATGCAGGGAGCACGGAGAACAGAGACTGGTACTGAAGAGAAATGGCGGCGAAGGTTAAATGAGCTCATCGGTGAAAAGGTGATGCAGTTTTTGTCATTTGGTTGTTCAAAGCTCAACACGTGAAGAAAATAATAGGGATGAGGGAAGTCTCTGTTTCTATGCAGAGAGCTACCAAAAAAGAAAAAATTTCAAAACTTTTTTGGCAACCAATGATAAAAAGACAAAATGTCGAGTCAATGGTACAAGAATACCAAGGAGACAGAGAGGGAGTGGGAATGAGGCCACTGGCATCAGGGAAACATTAGCAAACAATGATCTCAATGACAATATGGGCGGACATACTGCTGGTGTAGCTAGATTTGAGGGACAATATTACTTGTGTCCAGTCTGCTAAAATATAATAAAAATTATAGATCATTACTTTGTGTTTATAAATGAGAGACAAGAGTGAGTGTGTGTATTAAGGAAAGAGACAGACCCTTGCCTAAGGCAACCTATGTGTCTGAAGTTTAATTTTCTAATCACGAATTTGGAATGTTAGGAGCTACCTTCTCTAAACTTGCTTTTGGATTAGTAGCAGAAGCCGGGATGGGAGACCTTGTAAGGATAGACTCTAGGAAGCGACGGGAAAAGAAACACATGTCCCACATGGGGAAAAGAAAACTCCCTGGTGGTAGGTTGGCTTAAACACCCAACGACGAAAATAGCAAAATCCCTTTGTTTCAGTCCCACCCACAATGTACCGTGATGTAATAGTTACTTACTGGGGAGTGTTGAGTCTACCCCTATCTTCAGAGATGTGCCTTGATTTGCAAACCAAGCAGAGTAATTCTCTCCACCTGGCTATCACCATCTAAGCTGGCTAGGTACAATCAGAGTGAAGCTTTGGACTTTTGCTTCACGGCTGAGAAGAGAGATGTTTTCTCTTTCTGAAGGTCTGATGTGCAGATGTAATGACTGGCACAACTGAAGTCAATTTGTCAAGGTGTCCTTTCCAGTTTTAGCTAATTTGAACGGGATTTCCTATTATTAATACACCTCTCTATTTTTAGCTGAGTTCTCCTTTTTAAGTCTTTAGGACACAAAAGATATCATTTTCTCATGGTAAATGAATCCCTTTAGGGAATTCATAGCATTTTGGGATATCATTTCCTATCCCAATAAGATAATTTTACATTTTTGCTCTTTCTAACCAAACCCACGTTCACAGGTGGTAAAACAATAAAAGTGAGGACTGTTTGTATTGTGATTTCTGATCCAAATGATCAGTGTTCTCACGCACTCTGTGTTGACTAGGACTCCCCTTCCTAACTCAGACGTACAGCGAAGGCTTCGTAAACACACACACACGCACGCACGCACTCTCCAAAAGACCTGTTTTTCCTGAACTTTCCTCTGTGTTTAGGCAACACCTTAAACAGAAATACCTTTTCGGTGTAACTGAAGAGACCCCAGAAGACATATGGATTTCAGCATCTCTGTTGTGTACATTTCTAAGCAGCACTGCAGCTGGATATAAAGTCGGCAGATTTCTGGATGGATCTCACCATCTTCGGGGCTGCAACAAAAGGAGTAAAGCTGTGAACATGCTCAAATTTCATTCATCAGCCACTTGTCTCCTCCACGGGAGGAGCGTGTTCGAAGAAGCCTCCTGAAAGACTTGAGTCTAAAACATAAAACTTCCATCTTTCAAATCAGTGAAAAATGTCTTATGTCTTACAGAAGAGTCCTTCTAGTCAGCAGCTCATAATTTTTTCCCTCTTCAGGAACACACTTGTTTAATTTTTCTCTTAAAAAACTTTGAAATAACAAATGCTTTAAGTAATTGAAAACACCAGCTAGTTTCAATTTGGCAGTTGGGATAAATTTGCAAAATACATTTTAAGCAGAAGGGTCTATAAGAAGAGACGAAAGGAACTAAAAGGAGTTATTATTCGATTGTTAGCTATAAGATGGTGCTTTAGTATCGAGGCCCTCTGGCATAATATAAATATAAAGACAAGTTACAAAATCAACTTTTTAAGTTTTTTTTCCATGTGTGTCTCCATCTAAAGGCTGTTCCTTTATTGCTTATTGCGATTAATTTATATAAGGTCAAATATTTTAATTTAAAAATGGAAAAAGAAAAATAATTGTATTCCTTTTTTAATAAAATAATTTTATTGGGGTGTCTTATAGCTCTTATAACAATCCATATATCAATTGTATCAAGCACATTTATACATATGTTGCCACCATAATTTTCAAAATATTTTCTACTTGGGCCCTTGGTATCAGCTTCTCTTTTTTCCCTCCCTTCCCCAACCTCCCATCCTTGTGAATCCTTGATAAATTCTAAATTATTATTATTTTCATATCTTACACTATTTGCTGTCTCCCTTTACCCATGTTTCTATTGTTCATCACCCTGGGGGTGGGGTGAGGCATTTATACATCATCATTGCGATCTGTTCCCCCTTTCTCTCCCTTCTCCCCACACCTTCCCCCTGCCTCATGGTATCACTACTTTCATTTTTGTTCCTGAGGGGTTTATCTGTCCTGGATTTGGAGTGTTATCTGTACCAGTGTATATGCGCTGGTCTAGATAGATTTATAAGGTAGAACTGGGGTCATGATAGAGGGAGTAGGGAGGTAGCATTAAAGGACTAGAGGAATGTTGTGTGTTTCGTCGGTGTTATACTGCACCCTGGCTGGCTCATCCTTCCTTGTGACCCTTCTGTGAAGGGATGTCCAATTGTCTACAGATGGGCTTTGGGTCTCCATTCTGACCCCCCTCATTTGCATCCATATGATTGTTTGTTTTGGATCTTCTGAGGCCTGATACCTGATCCCAGTGACACCTCATGATCAGATCACACAGGCTGGTGTGCTTCTTCCATGTGGCTTTGCTGCTTTCCTGCTAGATGGCTGCTTTTTTATCTTCAAGCCTTTAAGACCCCAGACGCTATATCTTCTAAAAGCTGGGCACCATCAGCTTTCTTCATCACCCATTTTGTCTTTTGCAATTGTCGGGAAGGTGAGCATCACAGAATTGCATTCTAATAATTATGATTAACAATTTAAAGCTTAATAAAAAGCAAACTTATATCCTAAAATGTATTCTAAAGCCTTTCATCCTTTATCCACTGACTGTAAAAAAACACATATAATGTGAATATTCTAGAACATGGAGTGATCAATTTTATTTTTCTGAAGAGTGGATAATTGGTTGTTGATTAAAATAACACTCTATATGTGCCTAAAGTAGTATGTATTGACTAAAGCAAAGAAGATAAACAGATAAAGCTTAGAGTTTATTTAGAAATGGAAGTATTTAAAAGTGAATTCAGTCAAATGTCCTAATTTTTGATCAAGATTTCTAACCATGTTCATTTAAAAACAATGAAATTTGATTCAATGGTGCAGCATTTGGACTGGATTCCTTTTTAAAGTGGCCAGTGGAAAAATTCAGGAGTGATGAATGATCAGAACAAAGATGGGGGCTTCAGTTTTATTTAGGTTCTGGAATCCTGGTAAAAATTTGCATTTACCCTGTACTTTAAAATGAGAATTATTTTCCAGTTTCTATATTTATTTAGTAGATGAGCAAGAATTTATCTAACAGTATGACTTATATAACATAAGAAAGAGAAAAATGATTTGCCTCGTTATCAGTGATGTCTGCACAATCACCTTTCTTATGTAAGACCAAAAGAAGCACCTCAAAAGAGCTAGGGTGCAATCTTTGGTTTTATCTGAAAATTAAAAGCCTGCATTACTTTCACATCTTTGTCTCACAGTTCCAATTCTAAGCTAAATTTTGAAGCAGGCAAAGTGGTTGGCTTCAGTCCCAGATTCGATTTCAGATTTTCCTTCTACAGGTGACTTCCACTGTAAGCTGTCCTCTTACTACTTTGGGATGCCCCACACAACCTCACACCATCTTCAGCCTCTGCAATTATCTCTCACCTGTGTCCCAATCCATCCTGTCTCATTAATCCCTGCATGGATAATAGCCACTAATGATTTCTGTAATAAAAAATGATCCTGCTATATTACTTGATAATACATTAATTGACTTTGGTATAAAAATTTGAAGACAATGTTATAACCCAAAGACAAGGTAGAGGCGAACATATTTTCTGACTGGCAGATTTTTTCTGCTCCTATTCATCATCTTAATCGCAGCTGTTCATTTTAACCTACATATAGCATTGACCCTGGCAGCTTACAGAGATTAAAAAAACAACAAACCTATATAAAAAAACCTAGTGTATGTACTGTATATTTGATGATTGGAACAATTAGTCAGTAGCTAAGGACAGTATCATTCAAACCGTGGAACATTATTTTCAGAAGTGCAAATCAGATACTATAGTTTAATTCCTAAAATATGCAAACTGCAAAGAGAGAATATTTTATGTAATTTAAACAAATGACTACCTTATTAACTTCTATCTGAGGAACCAGTATATTTTATTATTTTAAAGCTATAATTGGAGAAATAAAGAAATGCTTGAAATGCATCTGAAAATGCCTAATTAAACATGTCCTTGAGGGCCATCTTTCTAATGCCTCGGTTACCCATGGGGATCCTAGGAACTGTGGAAACATTATTCCCTTCATGAATATTATGGAATGGAACTGAAAAGGTGCTATGAAAAAACAAACTGCATTAAAAGAATTAATTGGTGCTAATTTTGTTTATACATTTCCTAGTTAAAATTCTATGCACAAACTCTTACAGTACTCTTTAGTGTCTGGGAAAGTGAGGTACAGAGAAAGAAAGAACCTAGGCTATTTTGAAGCATCAGAGCTAGAGTCAGAGCCTGGGCAATGAAGGAAAAGCCAAGAAAACAGCCACTGAAGAGTGGTGGAAAAGTGAAGCTAACCGGTATGTCAGTGTATCAAGATTTCAATCAGTATCCCTTTGTCGATCTCAGAGTGAGGGAAGTACTCAGTGAAGATTCTCTAAAGCCTTGAGTCAGAATCATAATTCTTCCTGCTTTCAAACCAAGTTAAGTTAAACTAAGAATCTATATACATTAATCCTCCCCCTGTAGAACTCTAAATGATTTATTGTACTGCTAAAAGTTCACCCCAAAGAAAGACATATAGTCAAATGGGTTATAATATCCCCTTTGTTATAGTCCATGAACTAAAATGAATTTCTGAGAACTATTAAGTGCACCCAGATTGTTTTTATATTATCAGAGTAAGGATAATGGAGAAAAAGTCAAGACAAAGTAGTTAAAAGGCTTGGAACTTGTAAGGGCTAAAGCACATGTTCTAAGAAGACCCTTCATTCAAAATAATTTCAGACCTATGAATATCTGCCAGAAACTGGACGCAACTTAACTTAGAAATAACTTTACCTTAGTCTAAAATGACTCACTCTTATTAATCAAAGAATAAGTGAATGAGAGTCACCCCCAGGTGATACTCATTTAATTCAGAGAAATTTTATGAAGTAGTGACTTAATTGAGATTACATTATAGTTTCTTTGTATCCTATTGCACATAAGGCAGGAGCTAACATTATCACTTAGAGTAGTTCAAAAGTCTCATATTTATTCAGAGAAAATCCTAAAAGTTTGTTTCAAGAAAATTTCAGTGATTTAAAGCTTAAGTTGAATCCTAAAACATTTAATCAATCTGTTTTCCACCAGCAATTTAAAAAGGAGAGTTAAGATTTAAAAATTTAATATGACTTAAGAAAATTGAATTGTTACAGAAACAAGTAGACATAAATACAAATATTACTTAGATTGCTCTCTGACAATGGAAACTCTATCTACTGTGAATGTTCTTATTTTAAAATAAAATAAAAACTATTACAATGAACAATGACAAGAACCCTAAAATTAAAGAGACCAACAATGTTAACTATTGGTAATGATTTAGATTAATAGAAACTTCCATATATTATGGGCAGGATTATAAAATGGTTAAACTCCTTGGAGAAAAATTAAATAGTTTCTTGTAAACTCATGTTAATCAAGAGCCAGAGGTATTGATAGAAGAAGTCCAAGTTGCACTGAAGGATTGGAAAAGACAAGGCTCCAAGAATTGATGGAATACCAATGGAAATGTTTCAACAGCTGATGAAGACTTGGAAATACTTGTCTATGCCAAGAAATCTGTAAGATAGTGTGATAGGTAGATTTATTGTGCCCACCTGGCTAATAAACGCATGTGGGATTAATAAGGTCGTAGTTTAATTGAAGGGCAAAGAGATAAAAGGCTCTGGGAGCCTTGCCTTTCTGTCTCTTGCTCTCTGATGATCCGGCCAGTGTGCGGCTGCTTTAGCAGGTTCTTTGCTTCAACTTGCAAGCTACACTACCTGTGGGATGCCCAACCCACATGTCGCTCTAGTTTGAGGTTCCTTCAAGACCCGCTTTGCCACACTGCTCGTGTATACATCACTTAAGCTGGGGACTGGCAGACCCCATCATCTGGCTGACTCTTGGTGACCTGCCCTGCTGTTTGCTGCCTTGGTTGGACTGCACCTATTGCTCTGCAGAAGATTCAGCTGTCTGCTTCCTTGACTTGCACCCAGCAGCCCTCGTGAGTTCAAGG